ACTGGCCGGGCGCGCGGGGAGGCACTCCAGTCTCCCGGCCGGTGCGCCTCCGCCGACCCGCGGAGGGCACCTGGCCTCCGAAAACCCTGCTCGGCCCTGGAAAAGATGCTCCCGGGTCTGTCCCCGCCCCGTGCGACCCCAGCACCTGCAAGACAGGGACCGCTCTGCTCTGGAACCGACACGTCTCCTGGCCGCTCAGAGGGGCCTTCAAAGGCTCGGACTTTGGGCAGGTTAGAGGCGGGGGCTCCGGGGCTTTGGGTCCCGAGCGGCCACGGACAGCCGGGATCTCCGCTGGGTCTTGTGTACTGACCGCTGACCCAGGGACTGTCCTGGCTGGGAAGTGTAGCCCCCGGTGATGCAGACAGAGCAGCGGACACAAGTCTTGGCCCAGAGTGCTCAGCGAAGTGAGCGCACGAAGACTGAGGGGCTGGAGGGAGCGAGAGGGGTCTAGGTGACCCCCAACGCGCAGCGAGCGGGCCAGCGGCTTGGTCCGGGTGGGTTTGGGCTTTGCTAAGGTCCCGCTGTCACCGCCCATACCACGCCCCTGGGCGGTGCTAGCGCAGGCCCCGCCCCCTGGCGGACACTTCCGGCGGTGGAGTCAGGGTGCCGGCGGCTGCGGCTGCTGGCGGGTCGGCCTGGTTGAGCAGGAAGCCCCATGAGTGCGGCGCCCCTGGTGGGCTACAGTAGCAGCGACTCGGAGGATGAGGCTGAGGCGGGGGCCCGAGCCTGGTCCGGGACTGGAGGCAGCAGTCGGTGAGGGGCGAGGAGGTCTTTGTGGTGTGGGTTCGAGTTCGCGTGAGTTTCGGGACTGGTTGGGGGCACAGTGCGGGGCGGCTGGCAAGGGAAGGAAAAGGGGTGCAGCGCGGGAAGGAGGCGGCGGAAGACGCCCGCGGACGCAGCTTCAGAGCGCATCCACCTGGCTAGGTCAAAGCGAGGAGGCAGGAACAGGGTTTGGGTTCAGCACCCGCACCCGCACCCGGCCCATTTCTCTGGGTGCACGGCACTGTAGCGCCCCAGATCTCTCCTTACCGGATACAGTTGCAGTAGGAACAGTTAAGCGGACAGAGAGGGCTTTTTCATTCATCCAGTAAGTATTCATCGAGAGCCCAGTATGCCCTAGACTTGAGACTAGAAACTCGGCAAGTGAACAAAACCATCCAGATGTCTTCTGTAGCTTCCCGCTCTGACGTGCCGGGTCTTATGCGTGCTGAGTGCTGTTCGAGGAGTGTCTCCACTGATCTTGCAGTAAAGTCACTATAGAGATGAGGAAACCAAGGCCCCCAAAGCCACATGTCTCAGAGCTAGGAAGCACCTCTGCAGCTTCTGCTGCTGCCTGCCCAGTTGTTTCCATGGGAACCACGCTCACGATAAGGACTTGTCCCAGGGCCTGGGAGACCCCAAGGAGAGACTACAGGGGAAAGAGCTTGCTGGTTATCTAGAAGCAGCCAGGGTGCTTGACTGGAAATAGACTTTTGTGGGGTGTGCAGACATAGGGGGTGCGAGGAAGAGAAAGGTTTTCTTTTCCTCTCTTGCAGTGGGCAGAGCCCGCTTCCCAGCCAGCGGTTGCCGGTACCCGAGAGCGTGTTGCACATGTTCCCAGACACTGAGGAGGGGCCTGAAGACGACAGTGCAAAACACGGGGGACGGGTGCGCACCTTCCCCCACGAGCGGGGCAACTGGGCCACCCACGTCTATATACCTTGTGAGTAGAGTGTGAAGCCTGACCGATAGGTACCTCCTGAGGGGAGGAAGCTGGCCCAGACCAGGAGGGAGAAGCCAGACACCTCTGATCTCGGTGGTGGGAAAGCCAGTGACTCCATAGAGCGAGAATGAGGTTCCGGAATTGGGGGTTTTTTCTGTAAACTTGATCTCAGTTATTAACCCTGGGTATAAATGGTCAGCCATTTATGGTCTGACCATTTGCACCCAGATTCGCTCATGGCAGATCTAGGAAGGGTCTAGGGCAAAGTGTTAATTAAGGCCATCCAGAGTACAGCATCTTAGCTAAGAGGTCGCTAGGTGTTGAGGGACCAAGTCCCACCCCAGCCCTCATGAGCAGGCGGCAGCCAGAAGCGCCAGGGTTCAGCCCTTGCTCTCTACCCTCCGCTCTCGATGCCTTTCGGTGACATACTGGACTATTCTGAACCTCAGTTTCCTCATCTCTGAAATAAGGATAATGATGATACCTGTCACCTAGGACTTGTGTAGAGATTAAGATATATGATTTATGTCATGTTCTTGGCAGAATGCACAAAATAAACAGTGGCTCTCTCTGCTGAATTAGCTCAGGTCACCTGGAACCTGCAGGGTGATTTTTCCACGCTGCTTGTTCACCAAGGCATTGCGGTAAATTGAGCAGCACAGTGGTAATGAGCAGACTCTTAACCATGCAGCTCTAGTCACAAGTTTGGTAAAAATACACTGGTGATCATTACAGGGTCATTTGTGAAGAAGTAGGAACACTCTGTCTTATTATAAAAAAAGAAAAGAAAGAAAGCAACCTCTATCGGGGGATCCGAAGGTCTAATAGGAGACATTTTAAAAATGCAGTTTCTGATGCTAGGTTACTAAGGAGCTGTGACCATGAATTTGCCCTTGGTACTAACAGCGAGACTGGCAACACAGAGAGTTAAGTGAAGAGAGCCAGTGGAATGCAGTCATCTTTTTTAACAGAATAAAAAATACATACTTTAGTATTTGCCCTGAGAAAAGGTGGGGGAAATAGGTCCCCAACTCTGACAGTCTTTAGCTCTCCAGCCCTGACCGTGAATGTGGAGTGTGTATGCCCCAAGGAGAGGTCAAGATAATCTTTGGGGGGTGAGAAGAAAAGTATCATCTCATCTTTTAAATTCCCTGTCTTGAGGGTATCCTTTTTGGTAGCATAATGTTATAGTAGCGTGTTTCTGACATATAAACAAATACACGTGCATTGCAGGTATGCGCACATGTTTTCCTAATGGCCGTGCAGAAACAGTAGTTTGGAGGGCGCTGCTCTAGGGCTAGGGTGTCGGGGCCCCTGCTTGCGCCCTTGCAGATTTCTTTTTCACTTGCCTTTTTGCAGTGAGCATGTGTGTGCTCATAGGCGCACACACTGCACATTTATCACCAAAAGACCTACGAAAACATGATTAGAATATGTAGGCACAGGGCCCTCCCTGGTGGCGCAATGGGTTAGGACACAGCACTGCAAGCTAGCAAAGCTGCTTCAGTGAGAGGTTGATCCCCGCCCCAGAGGCGACCCACGTGGCGCAGCAGACCTCTCCTGCTCCCCTCAGCAGGGTACTTCATCAGTGCCTGTTCTGCTCCCCATTCTGTCTCTGGTGAATCCCCTCACTGCCCCTGTACCTCTGGCCTGTACCCCAGTTCTGTATGCAAAAATAAATAATCTTTTTTAAAAAAAAGAATATGTAGGTACAGACTCCATGAGGGTAGTTTTCTCCAAAGTCCCAGAGTAACAAAGTCTTTCTCTGCTTCCTGGGCGGCTTCATTCAGCTGTGCCCGCTGGGCTAAGAGAATGACCCCCTCCCTCTGTTGCTGCCAGATGAAGCCGGGGAGGAGTTCCTGGACCTGCTGGACATGCTGCTGCCCCATGCACAGACCTATGTGGCCCGGCTGGTGAGGATGGAGGCATTCCACGTGAGCCTGTCCCACAGTGTGGTCCTGCGCCATCACTGGATCCTCCCCTTTGTGCAGGCCCTGAAAGACCGCATGGCCTCCTGCCAGAGGTGAGTGCCCGGGGCTGCCCTCTGCTCTCTTCCTCTGATCCCCCAAGGCCCCTCTTCCTTTCCTGAGTGGCTGTGGGAATGGAGGGATGGGCCATAGTGACCAAAAAGCAGGCCAACCTAGAGGTGAGGCTGCTGGACACCTCCTGGGCTTCCTGCCATCTGTGAGATGCTGTGGCCATGCCCACACTCTGGAAGCCTCTGAGCCCGTGGGGGGCAGGCCATGGGGTAGTCGGTGGCTGCCTCACAGGGGACAGTGTCTTGGCACACCCTCAGTGTGAGCTTATTAGCAAAGGATGGGTCAGACCCTGTTTCTGGTGCTGTCTGCTAGACTCGCCTTCTTTTTCCTTAACTACGTCATGCATCTTCCTTCCAGAAATGCCTTTCCTCCTAGACCTGGCCAGACTCAAACCTGCTCCTTCATGAGCTTCTTCAGGCTTCCTACATGCAGAGGTTCTTTACCTGGCAGGTCCCTTGCTGGGACCACCGGGAACTTCACCTGAAAGCCATTACAAGAGAACCTGGCCCCTGGGGTAGAGGGGGACAGATGAGACTTGTTCTCTTGCTCACTTGGGGACCAGAGAACAGCTCCTGCCCGCTGGGTTAGCCTCCCCGACGCCACCCTGCTGGGGCTCGGTGTCCCCTGCCTGTGTCTGTGTCCTGAGTAGAGCCAAGCCAGCTGGCCTCTCTCCAGGTGTGTCTGATTGGGCTGAGAGGTGAGGACTGAGAGTGGGCATGGTACCTTTGATGCACCTGAGGGAGTATAGGGGCAGGTGCCACCCCTGGACTGGGGTACACGTGTAGAGACCCCAAGTGGGAGAGCAGGCCTCTAACAGCAAGTTACCAGAGGGGTATTAGTGGGGTACTCCCAAGAAGCGAAATCAAAAGGAGAGCCACATCTACATGTAGGTACGCAGATGTGTGTAAGAGATGTGTATAGGAATCGGCTCATGAAGTTAAAGGACAGGAAGTCCCAAGCCCACTGCTTGGGAAAGCCACGGTGTTATCCAGCCCAAGTCTGATGGCCTGAGAGCTGCTGGGGGTGGGGAGGTGGGGGGCGGGGGAGACACGGCTATTGCAAGTCCCGATATGAGCCCAGACCCCAGGAGCACAGAAGACGGAAGCATGAGCTCAGTGGAGAGTAGGGACCTTTCCCTTCTGGACTGGCCTCAACAGCCCACACTGCACAAGGCCACGCGTTACTTAGTTCACTGGTTCAAATGCTTATCTCTCCAGGAAACACCCTCCCAGGCACCCCCAGGAAGTATGATTTACAGTGTAGTCGAGCTGACATGAAATGAATCATCTCAAGATCACCCCTTGTCAACTTGATACCCAGATGCAGCTCCTTAAACCACACTCGATCCCCAAGTAAACACAGTAGCAAGGCCATAATCCCACCTGGTGCGATACAGTGACCCTGTGTTCAGCTGAAATGCACCGTTGCTGGGAGGCAAAGCCCTTGAGTGAGGGCTCCTCGACACCCCACACCTTGAAGATTATGATGTAAAATGAGCCATCCCTCCACGCCGAGAGAAAGTCGGTACATTTAGGGACCCTCCTTGGTGGCACAGCGGCTTGGAGCTAGCACTGAGAGGCTCGCCATGGCCGCTCCAGTGTGAGCGTGATCCCCCACCCTGGGGCTGACCCACATGGCGCGGCAGACCCTCCTGACTCGCCCGCTTCTCCCCTCAGCAGTGTACCTCATTGATCTGCCTGTTCTGCTCCCCACTCTGTCCATGGTGAATTATCTCATAGCCCCCACGCTTCTGGCCTGTACCCCAGATCTGTATGCATAAATACATAAATCTTAAAATAAAAAAGTCAGTACATTTGATAGCACACCAAATGCTTTGCTTAATAGATGTGTAAGCCCACGCAGACGAAGGACGGAATGCAGAGGAAATACCCACGAGAGTCACAGCCCATGTTTCCCTAACGGTCACCCGATTGTAGCCAGTGCATATGACCACCCCGACCACCTCCTCCGTTGCAGCAAGGACCACGCGCCACTCTTCCATGATGGAGCTATTTCAGTGGGACCAGCTTGCCACTAGGTCCTTATCTCCTTTGGCCTCGAGACTGAAATTGCTGAAAATCAAATGCAGAACCTCATCTTGTGATGAGCTGAATTACAGCACAGCTTCTCAGGGTGCTACAGCAAAAGTGAGGCGATTGAGTGGGAAAGAAGAAGATTCTGAAAGTTGGGGAGGGGCAGTGGGAAGAGCCTAATGAAACAAGGGGTGTTGGACCCCTAAATTCTGAGCAGACTTCCTTGCCATTGGCAAGGGTCTCCCCACCCAAAGTAGAATGAGCCTCTGACCCCCATCTGAGGCATGAACCCTGCATCATCTGAGGAAACACTAATGGCCACTCCTGGGGCAGGTGCCTGGCAAGACCATGCTGACTTTCCTCAGGTTCACCCCAGACCCGTCTCCTCCAAGTCTTCCAAGCTGCACCAGGGTGCAAGTGGCATCATGGAAACCAGAGTGACAGCCTGGCTGCCATCCATGTTACTATTTTTTTTAAAGATTTTTATTTATGCATACAGAAATGAAGTAGAAACCAGAGGTGCAGGAGCAGTGAGAAGCTTCACCAGAGACAGAGCGGGGAGCAGAACAGGCAGACTGACGAAGTACACTGCTGAGGGGAGCAGCGGGCGGGTCAGGAGAGGTCTGCCTTGCCATGTGGCCACCTCTGGGGTGGGGATCGAACTCACACTGAAGCAGCTGCAGCCAGCTTACAGTGCTGCATCCTAACCCTTTGCGCCACCAGGGAGGGCCCCATCCATGTTACTTAAGGGCTTCTCAGCTTGGCCCCAGCTCCTAGTCGCTCCCAGCCCCAACATCCCCTAGTGACCCAGAGAACACAGCCGGAACCAGCTAGAATCACGACGCTTAACTGGCCAGTGCAGCAACCCCTGAGCGACACGGTGGGTGTCTCTGCCTCCGTTTCAGACAGCTGGAGAGCCACTGTCAGAGGTCAGAGCAAGGGCCTCGCATCAGGCAGCCCGAGACCAGTTTGTGGCTCACCTAATGCACCCTCAGCAAGCTTCAGGCGCAAGTAGAATGGTCATAACTACGTGCTGCCTCACGGGCTGCCTGAGGGCTCCCAGAGCCTAACGTACCAGGCCCCGCTCAGCTACTACATAGACCAGTTCCGAATTGTCTTCCTGTGACTGAAGGAACAAATGGGCCAATATATGGTCTGTAACCACCTCCTAGATGAAGAAGACTGCCCAGCTCCCGACAGGGAAGCTGAGATGGCCTCAAATGCTCTGTTGCATGAACTGCCATTAATAAAGTAGAGGCCCTCCCTGGTGGCACAGCGGGTTAGGACGCAGCACTGCAAGCTGGCCACAGCCACTATAGTGTGAGTTCGATCCCCAGCCCCGGAGGTGACCCGCGTGGCGTGATAGACCTCTTCTGACCCTTCTGCTGCTCCCCTGAGCAGTGTACTTCATCAATCTGCCTATCTGCCTGTTCTGCTCCCCACTCTGTCTCTGGTGAAGTCTCTCATCGCCCCTGAACCTCTGGTTTGTACCCCAGTTCTGTATGAATAAATAAATAAAAGTAATAATAAAGTATAAGTTTGCTAGCATTGAAGGGGAGCTGTGTGCCACCAAGATTGGGTGACTGTAAGATCTCGTGTAGCGCCAGCATTTTTAGGGCTCGTTTTACCACCTGTGTATTACCATCACCATACAAAGCAAAACTGCATTTTCAAAATGCTATTTGTAACAAAAACTTTCTTTTTCTTATTCTTCCTAAAATGTGGTCTTGCTTCTTCTGGATTTCAGATTCTTCTTTACTGCCAACCGGGTAAAGATTTATACCAATCAAGAGAAAACCAGGTGGGTCTCCCCCTGTCTGCCCCATTCACGTCTGGAAAAAGATTTTTTTGGCATAAAGATTGGGGGAGGAGGGGTCGTTACTCCTGGCTGTTGTTTGTGTGTTTTTCAACCAACTCTGACTACAAAGGCAGCTGTTTCCAAATCCTAAGGCTTCCTTAAGAAGAGTAACTTGGGGAACACAGCGTGGGGGGGGGGGTACAGGTGCACAGCAGAACACCTTGGATTCTCTGTCCCCAATAAGCACCGAACTCATGTCTCCTCCCCGGTGCCCTCCCATTTCCACGCCAGCTCACCCTTGCCCTCGACACAGCCCTCGCTGGGCAGTCGTGAGGCTCAGATTAGACACCCGTTTTGAGAGCGCCGAATCCTAGCCACTGGACCACCAGGGAATTGAAAGGCAAGCAGGTATCAGGTGATCATAAGAGGGCGATGGCGACTTCAAAGCCGGCTTCCCTGTCCGATCCATTCCTGACTGCCCTTGGCACCTCTGAAAGCTGGGCGCTGTCCCTGCACCCCCTCCTGCGGGAGACCAATCACAGACAGGTACATGAGATCATCAGTAACTACTGCGTGACATGAGTCAGGAGCTAAGCCGTGCCCAAGCGGGTGCCAGAGAGGCGGATGCTGGGTCCCCAGAGCAGAGGACACAGGAAGTGAGGGGACTCGGAGTCCCACGAGAGCTGGGCTTGTCTGAGGAGGCCGGTGAAGTGGAACCTCGGGAGCGTGCGAGGCAGCAGGCCAGGCCGGGTAGCGTCCGCTAATGCAGGGCCTTCGGGGTCACGGCAAGGAGCGGGGACATTGAGTCTACTGGAAGCCACTGGCGGGGCCCAAACATAGGAGAGCGTGAGCTGACGGGCCTGGACCTGTCAGCCTGGCTACATTGTGCCTGTGGCCTCTGAGCGGAGGACAGCTGGAAGGAAGGAAGGAAGGATGCAGGTGAGGGGCTTGGAGTAGGCGAATGGGGGTCAGGGAGCAAGAAGTAGCCATGTTCTGAGACACTGAAGGTGGAGTCAACTGGAATCAGGTGATTCCGTCCGTGCCAAGTAAAGGGGAGAATCAAAGTGCAATTACCAACGGGGGGAAAAACCACCCCTCTGTGCAGCCAACAATCTGAGCATAACCTTGGACTCCCCCCAAAAGATAACTAATGATAGCTTGCTCTTGATCGGAAGCTTTACCAATAACAAAACCCACAGATCTTGCATGTTACGTGTATTATAGGCAGCATTCGTATAGTAAAGTTAGCTAGAAAAAATAAACTGTTACTAACAAAATCATAAGAAGGGTCTCCTTGGTGGCGCAAGGAGTTAAGTCTCAGCACTAAAAAGCTGTCTGCCGCCACCACAGCACAATTTCGATCCCCGGTCAAGGAGCTGACCCACAGGGCGCAGCAGACCGCTCCTGTCTCCCCTGCTGCTCCCCTCAGCAGTGGATTTCAGTAGATCCACCTGTTCTGCCCCCACTCTGTCTCTGGTGACTCCTCTCACCTCTTCCCCGCCCCTGTACCTCTGATCTACACCCCAACTCTTTATGCACAAATAAATAAATCTTTTAAAAAGAGAAAAGAGAGTCGTATACTGACAGTATACTAGACTCTACTCATTGACATCCTAAATTGACATCCTGTTTACAAGATGAACCATCTGTACTGCCTCAGTACTGTCATATATGAAACAAAACACGTGGATATGGTACGCATTACTAACTCTAGACCTCAAATCAAATTTTCAGTATATTGGGGCAGGGGGGGGGCGGTAACCACATTGATCAAGCTCAACTGTAGATTCCTGGGCTTGGGGTTTGCACAACCAGCCCCATTTTCTGGGATGGCGCCACCTACTGGGTGAATCACATTAGAAGCTCTGCTGTGTCCTTTTGGGGGCTGCCTGTGTGACCCCTGGGGGAAAACACACCAAGGGGTGGAGGGGGAGGGGGGACTGAGGTGCCTGCTGCTGCTGTTGGGCTGGGATGAGCCCAGCCATGTGGAGGTTGGAAAGAAGAGAAGGCAGCAGCCAGCAGCGAGACGGAAGGGCAGCCCAGGGGCAGCCCAGCCCCGCAGTGTGGGGTGTCTTGGGAGAGGGTTTCAAGGTGGGGAGAGGCTGCTGTGTCAGATACTGCTGCACCTGCAAGGTGAGGACAGAGGAGCACCACAGCACTGGAGCGCCTGTGAGGTGGTGGGCAGCTTTGACGGGAGCAGTGCCCCATGAAGGGGTGGAGAGGAAGCAGAGACTTTGCAAAGACACTAAGACTAGTCACCCTTTAAGCAGCTCCACTGAGAATGCCCTGGGGCTGGCTGAGCAGGCCAGGGAGAGGGAGCGCTCCGAGGGGAGAGCTGTCTGCCTGCTGGCTGGTGAGGGGCGGGTCCCTGCTGCCCCAACCCAGCAGGGCTCTGCTCTGAGTCGGGATGCAGAAGCCTCAGGGTTCATAGACTTAGGGCACCCGGTGGGGGTGCTAAATCTCCTCCCCTTCCCTGAGGAGGAAGGCAGGAAGGTTAGCACTGAGGAGGGAAGATTTGCAGACAGGAGGAAACAGCTCAGAAAGCAGGAGAAGGACTTGCTGGGAAATGGGGTACCGTCCTGGCCCTGCCCACGGCACTGTGTGTCAGTCCGTCCCATCCTGTGCCTGCGTGAGTATTCTCAGAGGCTGCATCTCATGCCTCCTCAGGACCTTTGTTGGGCTCGAGGTCACCTCGGGGCATGCCCAGTTCCTGGACCTGGTTTCAGAGGTGGACAGAGTCATGGAGGAATTTGACCTCACCACCTTCTACCAGGTAATGGGCCTGGGGAGGGGGGCGGGGCTTTTCCTCCTCCATTGGCCTCTTACAAGGGAACAGCCATCTTCAGGAAGACAGAGGAGCCCTTTCCCAGGAGTTGAGGGCTCTGAGGCGTGGCCAGAGTCCAGCATCCTTAGAAATCTGCTGTCACACGTTCATAGGCAGGGGGTCAATGCCCGTACCCCATAATGATGCCAGGTTCATTTTTATATTTCTTAAGGAGTCATTTTCTCCAGTAATTTTTCTGGAAATTGACTCTCCAGAAGAGTTGTGGTTTTACATGCTTCCCTGTTCCTGACCCAGTCCCCACGGGGCTCCATGTGGGATATCAGTCAAGCTTTGAGGAGTCATTAGTTTGTCTTGATATGTTCTGCAAGACCAACCCGTATGACTTCTTGTGGAGATCTTTATTTCCTTTTAGTTTTAGAATTTTCGATGTTGTTCAAAAATGATGCCTCTTCAAAGCGTGGCTTCTATTAGAGTCATCTAGATCAGAAACTAGCTCAGGGCTGGGGTTCTCGCGCGTGCCCTAGTTTTGATACTCTGATATTTAAAAGAAGGCTGCTGAGAACTTAGCAAAACACCGTGGAGTGAGTGGCTCACCACAGAAACGTATTTTCTCACAACCCTGGAGCCCAGAAGTCCGAGGCCTGGTGCCAGCACAGTCAGACTCTAGTGAGGCCACTCTTGGCCGGCAGACGGCTGTGCGATTGTGGCTTCACAAGCTGGAGTCCAAAGAGCAAGGCCTCGGTGCCTTTTATCAGGCGCTAAGCCTGTGGCCAGAGCTCCATCCTCACCACCTGCTCTCAACCTAATCAACCCTCCAGATACCTTCACATGGGGGGCTTAAGTATATGCATTTGGTGGGGGGCTCAAATCATTCCATACCGAGGACCCACCCTGGGCTCATGGGTGCTTGGGATCAACTCCAGGGAGCCCCACTCCTGTGGAGCAGGCTAGGGATCCGGTAGGGACCGCAATACCATGGCAACTCTGCCCCAGACCTGGTGTGACATCTGGGCCTGCTGTGGCATCTGAGGAACCCCATTCCCACCCTTTCTCCACAGGACCCCTCCTTCCACATCAGCCTGGCCTGGTGCGTGGGGGATGCCCGTCTCCAGCTGGAAGCACAGTGCCTGCGGGAGCTCCAGGTGAACCCCAGGGTGGGAGTGCAACGGGTACTGAGCCCCTGAAGTGATGGGCTGGAGGCCCCCTGAATCCTGGGAAATAAACTGCCCGGGCAGAGACCCTCCCCCTTACCTCCCAACACCTGGAAGCTTATTAGCAATGCAGACTCTGTGGTCCCAGCCAGGATCTCACAAGCATTTTTTAAAATGCATTTTAACAAGCTCTCTAAGGAATTGAGTGCATGTTAAATTTGGGGCAGCACTGCCCTGGAAGCCCCAGCCCCTTATGTCAAAGGCTCGGTGCCCACAGGGGCCGGCAGGCACTGCATATGAAATCGAGGTGGGGGTGGGGAGGCTCATTCCCCTCGCAGTGACTGTCCTCTCCCGGCTCCCGGTTAAGGAACTCGTGGACGAGTTTGAGGACTCGGAGACGCTGCTGCGCGTGCACGCCGAGCAGGTGCGCTGCAAGTCTGGGAACAAGTTCTTCTCCCTGCCTTTGAAGTGAGGCCAAGCAGAGCTAGAGGGGCCTGATCGAAAGGAGGGGCTGCGCCCCGCTTCCTCCGGCCTGAGGGGCGGCCACTCCCTCCTCCTTCCCTGGAGCCGCGCTCCATCTCCGTCAGTCAGTGCGGCTAGGTCACGTCATTTCCAGAAGTCACCAGTAGAGGGCAGCCTGGACTTCCTAGTTCTTGCTCTGGGGATGGTTATGCAAAACAATCATTTGCTTCTGGGGTGAGCCCACCCATCCGCAGCCAGGATCCTCAGCCTGCACCCGCCAGGAGCCCCTCCTGGAGCGGCTCCCCCCTCCACTGTTGGCGTTTTGATGCACGGGTCTCGACCATGGTTTTCGGTTCATCTTCATGCAAGGACGTGGTGCTCGCATGGGTCTGTTACCCTCCTTCCTGGAAGCATGTCATTTTTATTTATCTGCTTTTAGCCACACCCCCTCCTCCGCCAGGGAGGCCACTTCTGGCCCAAGGTAGAGGGTGCTAATTTGCGGTTCAGTTTTCTCTCTCTCTTCCTCCTATTCGCCCCAGCCAGGGAGATGAGAGCAGATGTTTCGCTTTGGCCAGGCAGGTGGCTTAGAGCCAGGAGCCCAGTGCTTGGACCTCTGGCCTCGCCCCGAACACTGTGACCTCTGGCTTCGCACCAGTTTTCCCAGGGCAGCAGAAACACACCTTCCCCCAGCAGGTTGCCCCCTGCTGCTCCTGCAGCCTGCCCTGGCCTGGCCTTGGGCCTCCAAGTGGTGGGGTCCCGGAGGGGGGAGGGGGGCACAGGATTTTTATTTTTCATTAAGTGCTCACCAGAGCAAGCAGCCCTCTCCAGTAGCCATCTGGCTTTCTGGTGATGAATGAAAAGACTTTTTTTATGTGATAGTTTTCAGTGATGATCAACAAATAAAAATTGCCATTTTTATTTTGGACTCTGTTCTGGACAGCTTGTACTCGAATCTAAGAAGATGACTTTCCTCTGCCCCACCTTCTCCAGCTATGCTTCACAATTCGAGGTGGTGGGGGGACTCATGGGAATCTTGGCTAGGGCTTGTCAGGTGGCCTTGAACAGCCTGAATGATGCCACAGTAAAATGGGGGGGGGGGCGGGGGCAGGCCTGTGGAGCAGAGCAGAGTGGCTGCACAGACCACCTAGCTGGCCTCGGCTACACCCTCAGCGTCAGCGCCAGGCCACTAGCCCTCTGCTGCACCATTTCCAAAGCCCTTCCTGGGACTCCTGCTGGAGAGGAACCTGGGTACTATTGATTGCTCTGCTTCTACAGACGTGGTTGCCTGACTTGCTTGGGGCCAGCTGATGAGTCAGAGATGAGCATCTGGCCCTGATCTGTCCTCAAGCCCTGCAGCCCCTCCTCTCCAGGCTCCACCGGAGCCTGAGGGACAGAGGCCCCAGGCTCTGGCTCCCGGCCTGCCTTCTGCACCCCTCCACCCTGGAGCAGGGTCCCAGTTGCTGCTGAAAGACCGCAGAAATCACACTTCCCTGTTCCCCCACCCGCAATGCACTGGTCTGCTGATTCAGCTCTTGAGAGGGTCGAGGTCACGCCTGAGAGGCAGAAGCCAGGCATCCTTCCTGGCCTGCCAGGGACATGAAAAGTCCTCCATGCAGCCAGCACTGACAGACAGCTCTGTCAGGCTCTGAACTGGACAGGAGGTGAATCAGATGGAGGGGAGGGGGTTGGGCGCTGGGGGTGAGGGTTGGCAGGAGTGGAGAAGGGGTGGCAGGGTGGCACTCCCCATCCCCAGCATTGCATTTCCCAGTCCAGGAGTGCCAGCAATTGCCTGCAACCGCAGCCTGGGAGCTCGGCTCCAACAGGGCAGGGTCTGTGGTCATTGAGCACCTGATTTCCTCACCACCTCCACCAGTCTCCGCGGGGCTCGGCTCTTGCTGGAAGACAGGCGTGGAGAGGAGGCGGGGTGAGGAAGCTCCAGCTGGAACAAGCCCAGGAGGAGGGCCGGCCCCCCACACTCCCACCCCCAAAGGACTGCCCGGATGGAATTAGAGCGCAGCAACTTTGAGAAATGGGCCAAGATCAATAGCTGGCTCCGCGGCGGGCGAAGGGAAGGTGGCGAGAGCGGAAGGAAGCAGGAGATCCACCGAGGGGGAGGGGCCGGGCCGCGCGGGGCGGCGGGCGCAGGGACTTGGCTGGTGCCCAGCCGGGAGTGCGCCGCGGGAGACGGCGCGCTGACCGCGCACCGACCGTGCACCGGCTCCGGCTCTTCCTTAAGAGGAGATGTGCTCCCGGCCAGGAGGCGGACCTCAACCGACCGCGGTCCAACCGAGGCGGCTGGCGCTGCATGAACGGGCTCTAGATGAGGGTGCGAGCGCACCCGGGAGCGTGCAAAATCAACACATGTGGCCTCGCGTCCGCAGATGTTCCTGCGGGCAGGGAAACCATCCTCTCTGGCCTGCTTGGCCCTCTTCCACCTGGCACTGTAGCCGCGCTCCGCACTCCTCTCCAGACCACCCCGGCTTTGTTTCCAAGGAAGAGGGAAATCACCTCGCTTGTTTGTTTATCCCTCGTCTTGGTACCCGAGTCGGTGGGGCCGTGGGGGGTGGCCAGGGTGGGGGTGGGGCCCTGGCGGGTCCCAGCCCCACCGCCTTTCCTTCACAGGGGACCTGGGCTACTACCTGAGCCAGAAACTTCCTCTTCCCAGTGGGGAGAGAAACCCATAGAGGGGTTTCTGTAAACTAGTCCTGGGGCAGGAATCCAGGGGCCTGGCTTCTACACCAGAATTTTCTGTAGCGCACCTCACACCCCATCAGCGTCTCAGAGTGGAGCTGTGCTGTGAAACAAGCCAGCTGGGCTTCAATGCAAAGGTCCCCAAGAGAAAGGGGGTTGGGGGTGGGGATCACTGTCTAGATGAAACAGTATCTGCTAAACTACCGGCAAAATGTGCGAGTTTGAAGCTGGCTGACCAAAGGGCCGAGTTCACACACTGGGCCCCACCCTTCCCCACAGGCCTTGGGTGCTGGGAACCCACAGACCCTGTGAGGGGTGCATCAACAGACTCACCCAGGAGCCCTGGGCTGCCCTGAGGGCTGCAGCCAACCTGGGGACCAACACCTTAAGGCAGGGTTTATCCCCAGAGAGGAACCTCAGCTGGAGAGAAAGCCAGGACCCCACAGGCCTCTGAAAGGATTGTCCACAATTTCCTGGTCCTTTACTGAGGAACCCCCATCAAGTGGAGCATTTTTTTTTCTAATTTTTTTTTTTTAAGATTTATTTATTTATGGATACAGAACTGGGTACAGGCTAGAGGTGCAGGGGCGGTGAGAGGATTCACCAGAGACAGAGCAGGGAGCAGAACAGGCAGATCGACGAAGTACACTGCTGAGGGGAGCAGCGGGAGGGTCAGGAGAGGTCTGCCGCGCCATGTGGGTCACCTCCAGGGCAGGGATCGAACTCATGCGGAAGTGGCTTCAGCTTCTCAGTGCTGTGCTTTAACCCGCTGCACCACCAGGGAGGGCCCAATCTTTTGTAATATTTTAAAACCAATAAGCCCAATCTTTTGTAATATTTTAAAACCAATAAGCCCAATCTTTTGTAATATTTTAAAACCAATAAGCCCAATCTTTTGTAATATTTTAAAACCAATAAGCCCAATCTTTTGTAATATTTTAAAACCAATAAGCGGGCCCTCCCTGGTGGCGCAGCGGGTTAAAGCACAGCACTGAGAAGCTAAAGCCACTTCCGCATGAGTTCGATCCCCGCCTGCCCTGGAGGTGACCACATGGCGCGGCAGACCTCTCCTGACCCTCCCGCTGCTCCCCTCAGCAGTGTACTTCGTCGATCTGCCTGTTCTGCTCCCTGCTCTGTCTCTGGTGAATCCTCTCACCGCCCCTGCACCTCTGGCCTGTACCCAGTTCTGTATGAATAAATAAATCTTAAAAAAAAATTACAAAAAATTGCAATACGTTCAGTTAAACCGAGATAGCGCCATTTTCCATTTCTGATAACCACTGTCCATTTCCCAAAAGGAAATTTCAAAGTAAAATTGTGAAATGCATTTCCCAAATGAAGGATCCCACAGAGAAAACTGTCACTGGAAACGGATGAGACTGCCCAACCTTTTCTCCAGGCTCCCACTTCCTCTCCCCAAGGACATTCTGCCAGCTGATGGCCTCCCTCTGATGAAGAATATTCTCTGCTTGACCACACTTTGGTCAGGCTCCCCCTGCCTCTCTTTCCCAACAAGCCCTCCCTCCCGACTGCAGCTTCTATCAGCAAGGATTCTCCCAGGGATGTCTGCTCTCTGCCAACCTACTCTCGAGCTGTGAACCCCACTTGTCCTGGACCTGTGAACCCCACTTGTCCTGGACGTATTACAACTTGGGCTTCATTCTATACAGGAATCTCTCTTGCCCTATGCCAGTAGATTTGGGGTTTTTTAAAATTAACTTCTGTCCAACTATTCGTTTCTTTTATCGTTTGTTTATTTCTGGTGCTGAGGCTTGGATCTGCATCGGAATTGCCAGATACAATAACCAGTCCTCTCCACAGGAATGGAGACCCTGTCTCCAGTCTGCTCACCGGTCTGCGTATCCAGGGGTGAGCCCGACTGCAAAACTGCTCAAGCACTGGGAGGAGTGCTGTCCTTAGGGTGAGGAGCTTCCACCCTGAATATTCTGCAGATTGGAGTTTCAGAGGCTCCCAGGCCAGGTTAGAGTCTGCGCTGTCTCTCGGAAGAGGCGGGCCCCAGGGAACAGGCGGGGTTAGCTGCTAGGCTTCTCTGATTATAAGAGGCTGCTCTCTTTTAGGAAACCTGTGCAGGGTCCTAGGATTCCTGGTCCCCAGAACCCACAGACAGGTACCCTTCGTCAAGGTCACAGCACTTTCAGTCCACAGAGCCTTGTCCTTCCCAGGCTCCTGCAGCCTAGATGGGTGTTGGCTTCTCCACCCAACACTGTCCCTGATCTTTCTCCTTGCAAAACTTTGCTGAAAACCTTTTGATCTACAATGGCCCTGTGGGGCTCTTGGGCTAAACTCAAATTAGTCCACCTAAGGGGAGCCCAGGGCAAAAGTGGACAGGATCCCTGAAGCACTGGTCTGCTTTCCCCATGGCGTGAAAATGTGAAAAAGCAGCTAAATAATTCAAATCTCACTGAAACCACTGATGTTCTTAATGTTTTCAGAGAGAAATTTCTGACCCAGTGAAACCCCTAAGCCCTTCACCACACCTGTGCCTTCCTCCTCAATTCTTCTATCTCTCTCCTCTCCCGGAATGTCCTTCACCACAGCACCCCCAGCCCTAAATTCCGTGCAACCATAAGGCTCGCTGGATCCCTGTCCCGTATAGGTGAACCCAGGTGCAGCTGCACCATGTTCTTGTAAGGCCGAAAGAACTAACATTTGAACCTCGGCCTCGTCAGAATTTCTACAACCACCAACCAGGACTTTCCTGACCATCACCTCCCCCCAAAAAAAGTGGAAGGATTTATTGAGTCATTGAGGATTTTTCTAGAAGCTTACCCTATAGATTCTCCAATTTTACTGACTCATCCAACTATTGGTTGGCCATGGAGATGCCTCCCTTTGAGGAGATTCCCATGGAACACTCTTTTTGAAGATTTTTAGGGGGGTGAGGCCACCCCTGACTCCCATCAGAAACGAAGGAAAGTAGAAAATTACTAGGACCGGTCCCCCCAAAGTGATGGGCTACAAGACTGTAGACAACAGAGCGGTGAACCTGTGTCTAGCCAAGGCCTTCAACAAAAGCAGGGACCTCAGCCACTACAGGCTGAGTTCAGTCCCCGGCCAGGGAGTGACCCACACGGTGTCGCAGACCTCTCCTGCCTCGCCCACTGCTCCCCTCAGCGTGTACTTCGTCAGTCTGCCTGTTATGCTCCCCACTCTGTCTCTGGTGAATCCTCTCACCCCCCACACACACACTTCTGGCCTGTACCCCAGTCCTAT